CAATGGCTCAGTCATGCCTATAATCTTAGCACTGTGGGAGGCCAAGACAGGAGGACCACTTGAGGCTGGAGTTTGAGAGCAGCCTGGGCAATATAATGAGAACTTGTCTCTACAAAAAGCAAACAAACAAAAAACTATGTTGAGATACATAAATTGTGTTACAATTGCCTACAGTATTCAGTACAGTAACATATTGTATAGATTTGTAGCCTAGGAGCAATAGGGTATGCCATATAGCCTAGGTGTGTAGGAGGCTATACCATTTAGGTTTGTGTAAGTACACAATGATGTTCTCACAATGATGAAATCACGAAGCATTTCTCAGAATGAATCCCCATCAGAGGTAGCACGTGACTATATATGTCCTCTGTTTCCTAAATTATTGGTAGACATCTTCTAAGTTATTTCTCCATTTTTAAATGTCTAAATTTATAATATAGTTCCTTAGAGTCATATTACTCAAATTATTATCCAACAGAAATATAAGTCAACAAGATAATGTATATAACACATACACCACAAAAAATTTTGTTTTTAAAAGCAGAAAGAGTTTTGTTTTCTTCCTCAGGAGGGGTACACATTCAGAATAACTTTCTATAGCTAGAAAGCTTTGCAAGAAATATTCTTCTTTAAAAGATAATCCTGCGTTTTCACACTGGTGAAGATGTGATAGGTTAGGACATGCTGATCTCTTTTGCTCATGAGGCCAGTTTTAAAACATGAGGTAGAGTAGCAGGGCGGGGGAGCGGGCCCAGAGCTGGGCCCTTCTCCCTACCCACTACCGCTCCTGAGGTGCTGTAATGAGCATTGTAGGGGGGAAAGGATTACCTCTATCCCTTTTTAGGGAGAGGCAAAGAAACACACTGTAACCAAAATGTCAAAAAAAAAAAAATTGTTAATGGGAGTTGCACAGGTGGAAAGGGGGGAGAAGGGGAAGGGTGCGTACTTTCATGGTGGGTGCAGGGCACACCACTTGAAGACTGGACACGCTTGAAGCTCTGGCAGAGCAGGGTGGGGAGTGGGGCAGGGGCAAGATATGTAACCCTAATAATATTTGTACCCACAGAATTTGGGAAAAATAAATTAAAAAGAAACATGAGGTACTTATAAATGGATACTTAACCCTTTTAAAAGAAGTTGTATTTCCCTACACGAGCTGACCCTCATCACAGAAATACTGTGTTCCTCCTGGTTATATCAATTTCATGGATTTTTCTGCCCTTGGCATGGTCTGTAGCTGTAAATGTAAATACGAAGACTATATGTCTGTAACACAGTAAACACATTTTTTCTACTGTTTTGCATGGCAATGGGAACGTTTATTCAATGTATCTTAAAGGGAAAACTTAGTTCTAATCATCTGGATAAGACTTTTTAAAATTTTAAGTTTTTAAATTGTGGCAAAATATATATAACATAAAATTTGCCATATCAACCATTTTTTGAGTATACAGTTCAATGACATTAAGTCAATTCATATTATTGTACATCCATCACCACCTTCCATCTCCAGAATTTTTTCATCGTCCCAAACTGAAATCCTATATCCATCAAATAGTAACTTCCCATTTCCCCCGCCCCTAGCCTCTAGAAATCACCATTTTACTTTCTGTCTCTATGAATTTGACTACTCTAGGTATCAGTAGTCCCCAATCTTTCTGGCACCAAGGACCAGTTTCATGGGAGACAATTGTTGCATGGACAGATAGGGGGGTGGAGGGGGAGGTGGAGCTCAGGTGGTGATGCCAGTGACAGGGAACAGCTGTAAATACAGATGAAGCTTCACCTACCCCAAAGTTTTGCTCACTTGCCTGCTGCTCACTTCCTGCCATGTGACCTGGTTTCTAAGTCTCATGGAAGACAATTTTTCTAGGGAGGGTGCAACAGAAGTGGAGCTCAGGAGGTGATGCCTGCCCAGTTCCTAACAGGTCACGGACCAGTACCAGGCCATGGCCTGAGGGTTGAGGACCACAGCCTTATATAATATAAGCAAAATCAGATGATATTTTTGCCTTTTGTGACTGGCTTATTTCATTTAGCATGATTTCCCAATGTTCATCCATGTTGTAGCCATATTTCAGAATTTCCTTCCTTTTTAAGTCTGAATAATATTCTATTATATGACCATGCCATGGACAAGAATTCTTAATGCACATCTGGTAACCTAAGCTGTATGGACATACTGTCTAAAAATGTTATTAAAAACTAAAAATTGAATTGTTAAGTTGTTTGAAATAATTTGAAGGAATGAAGTCCTGAGAATACAAACTAATTTAGATAGTTTCTGACAAATAAAATTCATATTTCTCTAGCTTGGGAGAGACAGAATGCTAATAGGAGATTATATTGTATGATTATATGATCATTCAGATAATTTTAGTCATTCTTCTTAAATGCTGTAACAGTTTTGAAATGAGAAAGAGTGGTGGCAGTTGCACAACACTGTGAAAGTACTAAATGGCACTGGGATTATATACTTTAAAATGGCTAATCGTATGTGAATTTCACCTCAATGAAGAAAAAATTCTATAATGGTGGAAATTTTCTTTGAACTTTGTACTGGCATTGTATTTTTACTAAAAATATCACATTATATGTGTTAGTATAGAATGATATATTTATATTGCAGTTAAAAAATTGATTCAATATTATAGTTAATCATAAAAACAGAAGAGGGAAATAAGCTTTCTAGAAATGCCTTTGCACATATGGTTCTCTGTGCTCAGTATATTTCCCAAGGTCTGAGCATCCTGCAAGGTCCAACTTATTTGCCATTTTCTTATAGAAGTTTTCCCCATCACCTAAAAATAAAAGTTTCCCTCTTTTTGTACCTCTACTGTAGCACTGGTATTCTGCCTAGTTGTAAATGTCTGTCCCCCTGCTAAACTGAAGATTCCTTGAGGACAGGATCATGCTTCCTTACTCTTTGTATGTATCAATCATATAGGATATGTACAGTCAATTCTGGTTATGTTGAAATCCACTGTATATGGCATTGAGTAGTATCTTCCTGATGTCAGCACTGTTCTTGAAGACTTAGATATAGTCAATAGAGATCAACCATACACACATGAATTTACTTAAGGACAAAGACAAAACAATTATCCAATGCAAAACTGTAGGCAATAGAATAGGTTGGTTATAACACAATTATTTCCAATGTAATAAAACACCAAACAGATGAATTAATGTGTGCTGCCAACAATTGAGGTTGCAATGTGGCTAGATTTAAAGATATGAGGATAAAGAGATACAAAAACAGACGTCACGGACAGATAAGAAAAAGACAAAGGGAAGTGTGTCATGGGAGCCTGGGAAAGAGATTCTTACTAGGGAAGTGGGTAAAGATAATCTGGATCTCCAGGAAAAGATTAGAAATCTCTGAAGTAGTGAATAATGCAAAGTGAGTGTAATAGAGTTGCAAATTTACTTGCATCCCCACTCAGATTTGGAAAGAAAACACAGCCTCTTCGTTTCTCTATTAACAGCCAGATTGTCTTTACACTACACACCTACACAATACAGAGAATAAAAAAGAAAAGTCTAAAATTTAGTCCCACCCAAAAACTTACATCCACTATTATATTAGTCTCTGGTAAAAGGAGCAGTATCTTAGCATCCCTATTCTTCATGCTTTACCCAAATGGTATTTGCAGTTTGGGAGCGTACACCGAGGCTGAGGGCAGGAGTCACCTCAAAGGCCTCACTGGCCCCTCTTGTGAAGCGGCAGCTGGCCTGGCCTGCTGCGTGGGCCAAGTGGCAGTGTAGCCTCTGAGCAGTGTTCAGGCACCTGCCGAGAAAGCACAAGCTGGTGGAACTCAGGGTGTGGACATCCTGGACTTGGTCAGGGCACAATTGTCTTCCTGCCGACTCAGCCCCTCCTTAAGCCTCACAGATATTTGGCTACACAGCCCTCTGGGACCTGACTCCTGAACTCCTGGGACTAGCCCCAGCCTCACTCTCAACTCCCTTCTACATGTCCCCTCAGGGAACACAGGCACTTGCGGGTCTTCTCCCTGACACACAGGAAGCAGATCACAGGAAGAAGCCAAAGTCAGGTCTTTTTTCTGTTTAAACTACTCTCCATGATCAAATTTTATATGCTGCGTCAGGCCAGATTGATTGATATGAGAGCCTATGGGCTCGTGACATCTCATTGCATGTCACATACCACCTCTCATTAGGACTTCAGCCTAGAAAGAGGAGATCTGTACATTAAGTGTCTCTGGCTTCGTCTATCTGGCTGTCTCTTTCTCTTTCATTCAACCCTTGGGATCAACAGGGTATGGATTTTCATTCTTTTTGACTAGAACCTCTTTTTCACAAAACCAAGATTAATCATGCTAGGCTAGCTTCTAGAAATTTTAAAGGGAAAAATAAAAGAATTGAGAAAATATTCTCAAAAAAAAATCTGACTTTCAAGACTACTGCTTGTCTGCACATTGTCTATGGGACTATCTACACTTCTGTTTGCTTTTCTGTTGCAATTAGTTGTCCTAATTTCCCCTAAATTCCCAAGTCTGACTAGGGAAAAAAACATTCACAAGAAAATACAAAAAAAAATGGCATATTACATTTCTCAAAATATTATGTTCATATATTATACCTAGCCTTCCTAGTATTGTAGTTTTTCACTAATAGGAAAAAGATCTAGATTATATTTCTATGTTCTATGAAATTTTCCTTAAGAGCAAACTGAAGTTTGTTTGAGCTCTGAACTTCTAATACCCTTTTTCATTAATTTTTCTATGTTTATATACTCTTTCTGGGTAACTAATGTTACATTCCTTAGTTTTCTACTGTTAAACAAATATGTCTACTTCTAATTATTAAGCAGTTCATATTCATTTCTGCATCTTAAAGATAAAATCTAATGGACTTTGTGAAAGTTTTGAATCAAATGTACTAGTATTTGAATGCCTCACTAGAGCACTTTTGTGTTTATTTATTTTCCTATGCGCACTTCAATTCACAATGCTGAATTTAATCAAAATACTTACCTTCCAAGATGCTGGTTCCACCATTTACAATCCACACCTACCTCTCTGTAGAACACTACTTGGTGTCATCTGCAAAGTTAAAGAGAATTTTATTTTCTGGATGGTGTTTGAGTTCTTAATTGTGAGATAAGCCCCATGACTGTTTCAGCCCTGTGGATGAATGTTTCATTTTTCTGTGAACTCCTTTTAGTAGAGTTGGTTGATTGTTTTTAAACACTTTACTTACCAATACATTTTTGACAAAGTGAAAAATTTAATTTGACATCATATAACAAAAGCTTCCAAGAAAGTGGACCAAAAATTTAATTATGCAATTTCATCATTTTAAAACGTAATAGACACAGTTTTGACTACAATTGCCAGTCATGTTAGTGGGAAAGAGTATTTAAGCTAGAAGATACAGACATAAAATCATTTTAATTACTGTGCATCTTCCTTTACTGTTTTATCAGATTATCATGTATAGCAACTTGCCATTCTGTGGTTACTCATTTCTAAGATTGTAAATGTCAAGAAATACCAGACTATCGCCCTGGATTCCTTAGTGTGATTGTTTTGTGTGTATGTGGTTTCATACCTAAGTGAGTCATTCTGCCAAGAACCTTGAGAATATTGGTCTAGTCTAGACATTTCAATCTTAATGATTGATATCCAGCCTTTGCATCATTAGAAAGAGGATGTAGGCATAAAATGGTTCTGTGCAAATACAAATATTATATACTTAAACCCACAAAATCTTGACTAGTCATTTCCTCTGCTAAATCTTTCCATTCTCACTATTTTTCATTATCATTTGTAGCAACAACTGCTCATCAGTAAAACTCATATCTCCAGAATAATCTCTGCCTGTGCTATTTGTATTTCCAGCACCTACTATGATGTCTGACTTAGTGGCTTCAGTAAAACTCTATTGAATGATCATATAAATGTTCCTGTTACCAGATTTTTTTATTTTATAGGAAAATCTAGTTTAATCAGAGAATGTTATTTAAATCTGGGAGAGTATCTTTGAAGTGTATCAGTCAATTTAGGATAAATCTGCTAGTGATTGTCATAGCAATTAATATGGACCTTTGGAAAACTGGATGTCAGTTTTACCCATGTTACTTTTTTAAAAAGGTGCCAATCTTTAGATGGTTTTATGAGTTTGGAATCAAGTTGGTAAATACATTATGAATCTAATACACCTCTCATGAAATATCCTGATGAGCATGATATAGAGGGCATACCTTGCCAGAGACTAAAGGCATATTTTTTCTCTTTAGTGAGAAAAGTGCTAATTTTTCATGGGATAAGAATAGAAAATCCTTTTAGAATCCTAAAGGGCAGCATCCATTAGTAGGGTAAATGTAAGATAGAAAGCCCCTACTTGCCTAGGAAGAGGAGAATGAGTGTTCTGTGGGTTTTCAGAACTGGAAAGAAAAACTACCCACTGCTTTGTTTGAGGCAAAATCAGGGCTGCTATGCAGCTGACATGCCCACATCAGTTGTTAAATCATAAATATTTCTGTACTGGTTGGTATATAGTTGCTTTATTTGCCCTATTCCTTTCCCTGGAAACAGCAGACCTTCTCACAATTGAGCAACTGATAAATGAATGTCCAGGGACCTCCAGGACCTTTCCCCAGTGCTAGGACTTGCTTCAGTTCTGTTCTGTCTATACTCATACAGAGTCAGCCTAGCTGGAACATTGTGAGTTTAGGCCTGCTTCATGGCAAACCAACACTCAAGATAACAAGCAGAGCAGATGATCCAGCCCCAGTCACTATGTCAAGGTCCAAGCCCAAGGTCAGCCTCATCCCTCACAACTCTGGTGCTCCACCAGAGGGATTCTACCTGTGGGTTGGTGCAACAGTATGAGGTAGGTAGGATGTGACAATTTCAGCTTCATTGAGGGTGCAGTGGTATAATCTCTGTGCAGCTTTGTCAGTTTGCTCAGTACTAGTGAGGCTTATAGGAGCCTGCAGCAGCCAAAGCAATGGGTGTTTGTAATTGCGGAAAGGACTGTTGGGATCTTCAATGGTGAAGGCTGTTGGGGCCCTCCTGATATCTTTTGCTCCCATGGAGGAAGTTGTGGCCAAAGGGATCCCTCTTGGTGCCAGGTCTGGCTCATGTGCACTCATGGAGGCAGTGGTATCAGTATCTGATGCATGGCACGTATGGAGTGGCACACAGTTGGGGTATGGAATGGTATGGTATGGAATACCAGCATGCATGGAGAAAACGCAGTTCCAGAGTCTGTGGTAGTGGTAGCACTGGTGTTCAAGACAGCAATGGTAACGACGTGTGAGGCTTAGGGTACTTTTGGAGCCACTGGGGAGCTAGAGTCCAGAAAACTGGCATGTGCAGAGTTACAGCAGCTCCAGGGGCCAGTACACAGATGCTCCTAGTATGGCAGTGGTTTAGTGTCTTGGGCACTTGTGCTCCAAGAGCTACCATGGAGCTGGGGTCCAAAGAGAGGGTAAGAACAGTGTGTCCACAGCTCCAGGGTCTCAGGAATGGTGCTCTCAGAGTAGCCATGGAGCTGAGATCTGGAGCATAGACACATGCAGGGCAACCTCTGTTCCAAGGTCAGGGGCATGGACATGCTTGCTGTAGCAATGGCTCTTATATCCATAACACAGGCACCCATCGAATAGCCATGGAGCCAGGGTCTAGAGTATGAATATAAGTGGAGCTACAGTAGCTCTGGGGCCTGGGCGGCCTCCTAGCCCACAGCAGCAGTGGTTTTGGTGTCTAAAGCATGGACATATGTGGTGCTGCCATAGAGCCAGGGTCCAGAGTGCAGGTACGCATAAAAAGGCCACAACTCTGGGATCCAGGGCATGCACAGGGTTGGGGAGACAGTGATGGCCCTGGTCCTGGAACAGCACAACAGTGGCACCTTCTTGAGGAGGTAGCGAGGGGGTATGGAAGGAGACCCCCCTCTACTGTTAGGTTCATATGGCTATTGGTTACCTCAGTGGCAAAAGCTGTGGCATCCTCTGTGGAGCAGGCTCTAGGGGCCCATGCAGTGACACACTAAGGGGATATCCACTCTGAAAGCTGTAGAGAGTCCCTGGCTATGGCAGGGGCTGTTGAGTGCCTGGTGGCAAAGGCTGCTAGGGTCCTCGGAGGAGCAGGTGTCTGGGACCATGGTGGTACCTGCCACATGGCTGATACTGGTAGTCTCTGCCCTTCTTATTTGTTTCTAGCCATCTACAGGTATCTCAGGTATACGGATCTCTCCAATGATCCCTTCTGTGCTGTTCTCTGTTTTATTACTTACTGTGCTGCTGTAGATTTTCAACTGGGTTTATTGAGCCCTTCTGGGGCCATCTTCATTTGTGGGTAGCTGTCTGTTGTTTTGGGGGAGGATGAAGGCTGCTGTCTCCTACTTTACCATCTTGCTGACATCACTGCTGTTACTTCTGTTTTGAAAGAACCAATAAGCTATAATGAGACAGAAATTAAAGAAATCAAACTAACAGGCTGATTTTATATTGTGACCTGGTATAGAGAGAGCTTAAAAAGACTGTCAGAAAGAAAAGCTTGCTAAATAAGTTAATTACTTGAAATCATCAGGTCGATTCTAGTAACAGGAAGGGATCTTTAAGTCCCCTACCTTGTAAAGTAAATTTTTAAAAGGTTAAATATTTTCTTTATAGACTGGGGAGTGGGCAGTAGGACATGTGGACTGAATCTAGGCCTGGTAACACCCAGCAAATCCAAAGTGGGTCTGCTTCCTCTTAGGGAAAGCACCTCTAACATTATCCGCCCCCCTTGCAAGCCCACTGCCTCTGTGCTGGTCGTGACTCTCCTTGCCACCCTCCTGGGTGCCATCAGGACTCTTCGTAAAACACACATCTGACTTTATCTTTTCAACATCCTTCATTTAGCAACTAATCCATAAATAATAACGCCTAAACTGTTGTGGTTGGGATCTAAACTTCCCTAGTGTGTGGTTCCTACCTGTTTTCCAGGCTTATCTCCTGGTATAATGTCCACACCCATCACCTCCCAACTTCACATTCAATATGCCTACTCTAACTGCAAGTGTCCAGACATTTCTTACATCCTGCTACCTCCACATACAGCAAAGAGAGCTTGCTATTTTGAGGGAAAGATTTAGGTTTTAGCCCATCATTTGCTTTGACTTGGGACAACTCACTTTTCCTCTCTTTTCCTTGATTTCATCATCTGTAAATAGGAAACCAAGAAGCAAGCTTACCTTACAGGGCAGCTGTCAGGGTCAAATGAGAATGAGGTGACAGCACATTTTTGGTTGCAAATTAGCATCTAGATGATAGCTATTATAAACATTGCTAGTCCCCTCCCCTATTAGATAATAAGCTCATGTAGATAACTCCATGCCTGCATTTTAACATGTCCAAAATCTCACAATAGGCCCTCACCAAATACGTGTTGAATTGAATTGATACATTCTATATTTTAGGCTCCAGAAATTATGATGTGCATCATTAAAGGTTTGTACAATATAGGGCTATAGAGGACAGTAGAATTCTCACACTCTTCCAAATAAATCTGAAATTTAGAAGCCTACAGATGAGAAAATCCATTTCAATAATATACATTCTGTTTTCAAAAATGAATTAGGTTAAAGGGATTAACATTATAATGGTAAGTTTCATTATTACTACTTTTCTAATTATTGTCCATAATACTATTTACAAGGATTCTAAGGGCCATGTGATAGGTAAAATATTTCAAATGTCAATGAATCCCTTGTAAAAACCCTTAGCATTCATAAGATCCATAAAGAAGTTTTCAAGTTGCATTTTTAAACTGAAGTGTAGAAAATAAAGGAAAATGGAGAGCAAGCAAAAGAGAAAAAGAAGAAAACAGCTTCCTGTGTCCATTCTTAATTGCATCATTGCATTTCATGTTATAGTCACCTCCCTTCATCCCCAGGTGATGGGGTCTGAGAAGGAAAGAATCAGTGAATATGGATTTTGAGAGCTGAGAATTTCCTTATAGATCATCCTCTCTAAACTCCTTATTTTACAAATGAATAAATTGAGACATAAAGATGGCCTGGTAGCTTAAAATCTGATGATGAGAGATTAACTTTTAGCTAAAGGATTTGACAGTTATCTTCAGATATTTATTCCTGATAGAAAAGCAGACACTGCTGCTTCTGTTGCTCATAATGGTATCTTTATTTCCAAGGGAGTCTCTCCAATGTGACAGGAAATGGTTTTCCTAAAGCTGTGAGTACATAGCCTCTATGCTTTGTCAGGCGCAGCAAATATAATACATGGAACAATACCCTGGTGCCCTCACAGAGTTAATGAGCCTTCCAAGGCTACTAATTTACTAGGAGGGTATAGTGTAGAATTCAAGATTAGATTCTTCTTTATTATATCAGTATCCTTTTATTTTGTTAACCTAATGCCCCTAACATTTCCCACCATTATACTTCTTTCCTTCCTTTTATACCCAAAGTCCTTAAATGAGTAATGTAAGCTTACCACCTCCTTTAACTTTAACTCTCACTGCTTAATCTGCTTTTTGGCTGCTTTCCATACACCAGCATTCTGCGTGTCAGTGACTTTCCTTTCAGATGAATTCAATGTCTTTTCTTAATCTTCTCCTTCTTGATTCCTTTGTCATATTAAACAAGTTTAACTATTGTTCTTCTTGAAACGTTTTCATTTTGACTTCTGTAGTCCTGAACAACAAACCTTCTGACCACCACTGAGCACCCCTCTCATTACACTTCATCTTCTTATCCCTTTTTTGTGGGTATTCCTATAGCTCCCTGGGCTTCTCACTCTCCTCTTTTGGTAAATTAACCTATGCTGATGGCTTCAGTGGTCACGTCAATATTAATGCTCCCCAAATCTTGGTCTTTGTTCCTGATCTCTCATAAACATTCTAATATTGTAATTCCATCTGTTCTCTTAGATCTCTCTTAGATATAAGTTACATCTAAAACCAAACTTATCATCACACTGATTAAATCATGCTCCTTTCCAGGATGCCACTTTTAAAAAATAAAACTGCAAATTTCTAATTGTTTATACTTCAAACATAATGATCTTTGCTCCTACCTTAGAAACAAATTTGAAGAATTGTATTATTTATTCTTTGTTTTCTTAGTGAATGCCTTCATTTCTATGCCTGCTGTCATCACCTGAATCCATTTACTCATCCATCCATCTGCCTTCTGTCCATCCATCCACCCACCATCATACACTGCTTAATCTTCTTCCAGACAAACCTACTTATAAATGGTCTGTACCCAAAACCCTCAGCATTAATTTTCACCCAAGTACGTTAAGTGTTCCTAAGTATATTAAAGAGTTCCATCTGATAGAACTGCCAGTTCTCATCTGCTTTTAACTTGACTTCACTCTAAATTAATCATCATATACTCAACGCCATGCTCTGTTACAAAGGGGTATGATCAGCACAACCTAAACCAGCTGCATTGTATCCTTTGTTCTTATTTGGATTGGGAGCAACTTCATGAGGAATAAAGAAGGTGGAGAAAAACATCCCCCGACAATGACAGTTTATTTAATAATGTCATGGTCCCAAGGTCATCCTCCTCACTCTTAAGAAGTATTAATTCGTAATCATTAGTTGTTGTTTCTAGATTTTGCCAGAGTTACTTCCCTTCATGCAGCACAGCTTCCAATGCAAAGCCTTTGGCTGCTCTACTTAGAGAGGCTGGCTTCTGTGCCAAATATATGTATCATTCTGTGGACTTCATAGCTGTAATTTCTTTTGAAAGCCAAGTGTGGGTAATCATCTCAGGGAATAGGCATCTGTGTTGTAACCCGTCAAGAATGTTAGTAACCTATTATTTTCTCCATAATTTTTAAGTCCTGTTGTTTCCTAAGTTTATTGATTCTTTGACTTCATTTGACAAACATTGTTGAGCTATTACTATTGGATGCCAGGTACTTTGGTTGGGAGAATAAAATGTTAAATATGCTAGATGCAGACACAGACTCCGCTTTCATAGAGTGGGGAGAACAGATACTAAACAAGCAATTACAAAGACGTTTGAGGAGTATCATTCATGATAAGGGAAGTGCAGAGTTCTGTGGAAGCAGATATTATTAATCTTACCATCTCATTTCCATAACCTATTGGTGGTGAGATCATTAAAAAGCTGCTCGACCTCTCAAAGGCTCATTTCCTCATATGTAAAATTGTGGCCAATGATAATATCTGCTTTACTGATTTGTTATTAGGATTAAATTTTGTAAAAAGCATTTAGTATAGTATTTGGCACATAGTAAGTACCCAATAAAAGTTAACTGCAATAATAAAATAACATTAATTTTATGTTACAAACCATTTTATTGCATTAATTTGCACTTTTAAGACTTAAAATTCTTTTTTCTTAATTCTCAGCATCTATACTTTTCACTTCTGACTCAATGCTTATAAAATTTTTAAAAGCTTGCCTATTTATTCAATTCTTCAGGAATTCTTTTATTCAACAAATATTTGAATATGTACCAGACCTTGTGTCAGGTATTGATAATAAAATGATGAGCAAAACATTTAAGATCTTTGCCCTGAGGGAGCTTACAGTCTACTGAGACAGATGGGCATGAAACAAACCATCACAGCAAGAAGTACAGGATTACAGTCTCATCATATGCACAAATATATTTAAAGAAAAAAATGGGCTTTTATCAGAACAAAGGCAAACAAGATTCAAGCTATGAAATTGAAACAAACTAGTCCTAATATCATGGAAACATTATGCTTCTTTCTAAAGCCGCAGATCCTAAAATAAGCAAAAAAATAAACATTAATCTTAAAATCTAGAATATGTGTTTTCAATAACCTTCTTCTTTCTTGCTCTATGAGGTAGCTGAAAAAAATACTATTTATTACAATTTTATAATGGGCTATATGATACAAATGATGACAGTTTAATCGTATTCTTTAAAATGCTAGTTACACTAAAACTCTGTTAACATTAGAAACATACAATTTTTATTTCAAAATAATGCAAGTCACAGCATATATGTGTGTTTTGTCAGTGAAGAAAAGCAGGCATATTGATGAATACACTGATGCTTTATTTAATTTGTTTCTAGGCCTTAATGCAAAGTGCTTAAAGATGTGAATTACTCTGGAATCTCTCCTATCTGTGGGACCTGTAACCAGTCACGTAAACTCTCAGTGCTCTGTTTCCTTATTAGTAAAGTGGGGTTAATGATAGTATCTACCTCAAATGGTTAGAAGAGAATGTGGCACATATATTGGGAAACCAGTAATATTAGTGATAAAAATGGTAGCGACAGGCTCTAAGTTTAAATTTTAAAAATGAGGTATTTGAGGGTATGATTCATACCCTGGTCACATATCAGTGACCAGCCCTCCTGATTTACCAGGAACTAAAGTGTTTTCCCTGAGGCAGGACTATCAGAGTCTCATAAACCAGTGATGAAGTGCATGATGAATCAAAAATCATAATAAATATAATTTAGGGTCATAAATTTGAGTTCTTAAATTATGATTGGTTAACAGTGCCTTAGTGTTTTCCATATCCCAGAAGCAAGAAACCAGGGAATAATGAACAGCTCCTCAATCACCCCTGGATCTGCCTTGTAAGTCTTGTCAACTGTGTAGCCTTCTAATTCTACTACTTCCTAAAACAGGTAAAAAGGCCAGAATTTAGCACCTGTGCTTTAACAAGGGCTTAAATCACAATACTGTTGAGAGGAGAGTTAAAGGTGAGAGAGAGAGACCACTGGTCTTCAAACGTGTGCTAAGGGGATCACAGTCAGTATAGAAATAGGAACGACACTAAATTTAGTGCTTTTTTCTTATTCTTCCCATGGAAAGTCTACATATTATCTGAATGGCTTGCTTACTTTGTAACCTTGAATGTTAACATGGTGTCTAGCAAATGTTAGGTTCTCAACAAAAAATATATGAATATTTTTTAAGGCTGAAGAAATTAATTTTTTTGTATTCTATTTTTTCTCCTTACATATCAGTACCAATTGCATATTTACAGATAAATTTAAGGAGAATCGGAAAGTTCCAGAGTCTGTTGTCAGAATGATGAATTTTCAGGTTGGCGTTTATTCAATCTAACATCACTTAAGCACCCTTTACAAATCTAGCTTTGGGACATGACATGGCCAGTTTCCTTAGCTCACACTTCACTATGGATAAAGTTATTGCCGATTGTTGTAATGTTGATATGGAAAAGGCAGTTACTGTATTTAGCAACTGTTCCAGTAAAGCATTCTCCAGCTGCCTAGGAGTCACAATCCATAGTCTTAAATAGATGTATCTGTCATCAGTTTTATTAGCTTCAGGTTATTTGTGCCATCTGCTGGCTTTGGGTATAGGAATTGATGTATTTTTTAAAAGACACAAGATATTAACTTTGTTCCACAAATAATTTTGTATTTTAAATGTATAGTTTATTGTATTTTCATTTCTGATGCCAGGGCCCACCTGAGACTATTAGAGATGTATTGAGGTCTTTTGCCTTATATCATTCCCTAGTTGCCTCTGGAGTGTGCTTTATGGAGAGCTGCAGTAGAGGAAGAGGAAAGCCTTAAACTCTTGGGGAAACTATAATCAAGAGTCTATTTCCATAAAATTGAGAGACTGAGTGATTGATTAATGTATATGCAATCAACTTAATAAATTTGAGGTGGTTTACGCTGTAAGCACAGATATGCTAACTTGAAATAATTGCCAAAAAACAAAAGAAAGTGGAAAGAGAGGGGAAAAAAACCTCTATTAAGGGATTCTACACACAGAAATGTATAAGAAAAGACACAAACTTTAGCTCTGGAGCTTCCTAGTTCACAAGGGAAAAAGAGAAACAAACGTGAGTTACTTCGCTTCAATTGTTTGAAACAATGACTCCTAAATTAGTGCTCCCTAAGGAAAATTAAAGACAAGTAGCAAGACCTGGGCGCCTCTCAGCCCTGAGCCCAACAAAGCAGCTCCACGTTCACCTGTTTTCCACACTGGCCTAATGCGCAGACTTTGACCACGGTCTATATGCCTTTGTTTTGTTGTTGTTGTTGTTGTTATTGTTTTGTTTTAAATTTGATAAATGATTCTATAATTTGAAGAACCATGTATGTTCTTCAAAATATAAACAACATTCTTTTCCTGGCAGAAAGGTTCTGAAGGTAATTTTTAAACTATAGAATTTTTAAAAAACAGCGTTTCAAAAAATGCAGGTGCTTATACGGTAACTTATGTCTATTTCCAATATTGTCCCTTATTAAAAGTCCATGGCATAACATTAAAATGTGGTTCTCTAAAACAATTCCAAATGGGGTTGTATTGATATGATATAGGTATGTAGTTTCTAGTGATCAAATTATAGTTTATAGATTTAGAAGATTAGTTGGAATAAAGTTTTATTTTATATTATTTGTGTTAGTTTATTAGGGTTATTTGTATTAAGGTTTGTTTTCTTAATGGATTTACTTTTAAAGGAAAATTCATAGGATAAAATCCAAAATCTACAAAAAGGAAGCCAAAAAGTAAACCTACCTATCTACCCTGTCTACAAAACCATTCTCACTAGTTACTCATTGTACCCTTCTGGAGGTATAAAAGGAAACATTTGATATGTTTATACTTGGAAATAAGATGTGTACGTGTATAACTAAAATACCATATGATGAGTTCCAGATGAGTGATTTAAAACAAGTGCTTTAGGACTTCAAAAGGAGGAGGGAAATTTTGGCTGGTTTGCCTATGGAAGGCTTCACAGAAGAGATGGTATTTGAGCTAAACTTGCAGCATGTGAAAGTTATTGGGCTTTTAGGGTGCTACTTAAAAATTTAAATTCTTTCCTTCCTGTGTTCAGAATTGAGAATTAAGGCATCAGATATATAGCAATAGATATATAAATGTCAGTTATATGCCTGATAAATCAACTGCAGAAGACAGCTTTACCTCTACAGCAAAACATTTTGCAAACTCTCGTCCCAACTTCCTTCTTCAGTTTGGTTTGGGACAGTTTAAGAAGCTAAAGTTTGGGTCTTCAGAACAGACTGTCTCAGAAATAAGGTCTCTCATGGGTTCAGGGCAGAGAAACAAAGAAAAAAGGGTGGGATTCCCTAGTACTTCATCTAGTCAAGAATATTGATCAATAGATGTTACATATTGTTATGTAATTCAGTTTTCATCTTTCACTGACAGTGAGAAAGAGGCAGAGCAGGAGGCCAAGAGTGTTACTCAGATGTTACTCCATGTTACTTCTTCTTCATGGAAATAGGAGACTGAGCAGAGAAGAAGTTCCCTCATTCAAAAAAAAAAAAAAAAAAAAAAAAAAGAATGCAGGAAATCAGAACTCAATAAAGGACAGAATTTCTCTCAAGTCAGTAAGATGTCATTGTAATCTAACTAATGGTAGTTCTACCCAAGGGAAAAAGGTATCTAAAGAAAACATATGGTCAAATCAGTGGCTTAGAGATACAAATTTGGGAAATTAAAGAGAGCCTGGGGTGGGAGAGGGAAAAGAAGAAGGAGAGGGAGGAAGAGGGAGAAGGAGAGGGGGATGGAGAAGTATTGGTGAATGTCTAATAGTCTTGGGGTGGGAGAAAAAGGAAGCTCTAGTTTGTAGTACTTCCTGATTTCTGTGGTGCAACAATACTCACTATGGCAATTGCAAGCTATCAATATGACATAAGTGAACATAAAGTTGGGAAGAGATGCACACAATTGACTCTCCCAAGTTGGTCCAAGCCAGTTCCAGCACAACCATGGAGAAGGAAACACTGAAGTTGGAAGACCTGAGCACTTCAGTAATGACAATGATGTTCTTGGCAGTAGGGTGGGAACGGTGCACCTACAAATAGGCCAGTGTTTCCACAGTATGTTCTGCTGAGACCTGAATGTTCCAAGAAGATCTCTTGCTAGCCACATTGGGGTAATCACAGCCTTCATTCAGCCACAACAGCCCTGTTTTTACCTCTTACACTTTATCTGAAAACATACTGAAAACCACTGACTGGTTTTTTGTTATTGTTATTGTTATGTTTTAAGCACTTTCCTAGAAAGTAGTGCTCACTGTGCAATTTTAAAAAAAATTATTTGCTTACAACAGAGGCATTTCTTTTATTAATAAACAGTGGATAATATCCCTGAAGAGAAGATGCAACTATCTGATATATAGAGATGATTTATTTCTAAGAGTCTGAAAAATTGTGAAGCAATAACAAATTTTCTGGATCTCCAAAGTTGGAAACAAAATATTGATCTGTTGTGGTGCATGCAAGAGAAAGCCACTGTGTAAATACTTGTCTGGA